AGAGATTAACAAATAATAATACAAACGTGGGAACTGCAAGAGAAAGAGAGGGCATAAGCTTTTGATGCTGAAGGGGAAGCCGGAAGGCGTTCTCTTTAGATGATGAGGGCCTGGTATTGGCATGGGACTAGACATTAGGTGCAATATTTCCGATTTACACACCAACACAACATGGAAGTGATAGAAGGATACAACCAAAAAATATGATAACACCATAACATCAGCAAGATAATCTTCTCCATAATAGGGAGAAGGAAAGAATATTTATTTCTTTCAATAATTATCACATTTTGTACAACCATTAAGAAATTTCTATACCTTCTACGTTGCAAGGAAAAGCATGGGTAGTTTCTACATAGCACACAATACTGGTCCAGTGCAACAACCGAACGAGTTCTCGCGTGAAGGATCACCTCCTTTTACAAATAGTGAACCATTCAAAGAATGAAAAATACCGATAGATTGTCCACAAATCCAGTAGACTTCAAAGTTTGTTCAGGTGGTAGATCTGACAGAATGTTTGCAGTGCCTGAAAGAAAGCGCAAGCTACTCCAATTCCGAAGAATATCATGATAAGCCCAGAGGAACATTAGATGAACACAATTTTCGAGCATCTTAATGACAAACTTAATGGCTTTCAATAACTCTTCTGATCCTTTCCAAGAGCACTGGAACATCTTTATCCGTCAGTGTTGTAAAACACAACCGAAACCATCCGGGTTCAATACAGTGGCATGATGATCCAGGCATCACATTGATTTTAGCTAAATTCAGTAGCTTATCCCACATCTCAGTCTCCCCTTTCTCACTGTACGATCGAAGGAACTTGCTCATATCTACCCAACAGTAGAATCCACCATTACTTTCGTAACAGTCAACACCTAGCTTTTTCAAACCAACCACAACTGAAGTATACATCTTCCGAAGCCTCATCCTATTAGTCTCAAGAAATTCTGAAGTAAATTTCTTATCTGATAGCATTGAGACAAGCAACCGTTGAGTGGGAACCGATACAGAGGAGAACCTTGCAAATTTAACAGCAGCTGCCAAGACATTTTCATTGAAGGAATAAATAACTCCAACTCTAAAGCCCGGGAGGCAAAGATCTTTGGAAAGACCATATATTATATGAACCCTGCTCCTGTCTAAACCTACTTCATCCAAAACCTCTGATATACTCACGAACTCCTTGTGTCCATGAGTAGAGCCAGCAAATACTTCATCAAAGATGAGATGTATGTTTTTCTCGGTAGCAAAGTCTAATAGATCATATATCATTTCCCTAGTCAAGATATTACCAACAGGGTTCGAGGGGTTTGAAAGCAAGAGGGCACGAATTTTGACACCTCGATTTTTAGCCTGGTTGTAAGCTCTTTCGAGAGCAGCTATGCTTATATTGAATTTGTCAGTACTGCGGCATGGAACGGGAATCAACTCTATCCCACTTCGCCATTTAACATTTTTATCGTACCTGAAGGGTTTAATATCCATTAGAATTTGTAAAAGAATATGTTTAATTGAGGGTAAACCCCTTGTACTATCGCTCAATTGCGGACAGACCCCCTATAGTTCTATTGTTGCAGAGACCCCTTGAGTGAATTTTTTGCACATTTACCCTCAGAGAAAAAGAAAATTGCTGTTAAATAGACCTCTAGAGGGCATAAGGGTCAAATAATTCATTCAGGGGGTCTATCTGCAACAATAAAACAACAGGGGATCTACCCGCAATTGGGCGATAGAGCAGGGGGGTCTATCCTCAATTAACCCAACAGATTTTGAGATTTGAGAAGAGGATATTGAAGGGCATAAAGAAAAATTACCCAGGGTAATATGGTGAAGGAACCATAAATGCATTCCCAGGGTCACCAAGGCAAAAGCTAAGTATCTCAATTGCAGAACTTGCACCGGATGTAAGTATGATTTGTGAAGGATTGAAAGAGACTGAACCCTTCATGACTTGAGACATGAATCCAGCCACAGCCTACAGATAAATCCGTTGTAGAACATGTTAAACAATATATGCCGTTTTCGAATTTTCCAATTTAACATGTGAAAACAAAGCTAGCCATTTCAATTAGTGATATTATCATGGAGTAACTGGCAACAATCAAGTAAATGGGGCAAGTAATTATTCCTAAAAACATATTTTAATCGATAAGAAATTATAGATTCTATCCAAAGGGCTGCATACAAAGGGTATAAACTGCAAGCAACAAGGATAAGTTCAAAACAGGTTTCCAATGCCGTTTCAATGATTTAACATCAATATACTCAAAATAGACAAATTATATGTCCTTCCGGTCTATTTTCATATACATAAAGTAATTACCTTGTCATATTTCAAGTAATTGCATAAGCAAAGAACTAAACAAATGCTCATTAGATTTGATCAGCTCTGCATCAAAAGAGCTTCAACTGTCAAGATCCATCCCGATTAAGATAAAAAAATTCAGAGTTATCCACATACCATCAGGTCGTGTGCAAACTTTTCAGATCTGCTCCAACAAGGACATAACATAAATGACAAAAAGTTCTTCAAATCTAAGCCACAAGGATACAGTAACTTATGCCCGTGTTCATAATTTATACATATGGTGCTAGATACAACTATATCTTAATATGTTTGAATACTAGAAAACCTTCAAGATAGGCATCCTAAGTATACGCATGGAAGGCTTTAACTTCCGACTCATGCTTACTTTTTAAGTGAATAATGCAGACGCCTTGATCAACTAAGTGCATGAAACAAATGGACAGTGTGATTCTTCCAAACATTGGAATTTGAGAAGTTGCCTACTGGGGGCCTCCAAAATTTCACGAATGTCTCAAATAGTACGAGGAACCAACATGAAAAAGCACTCAGTGAAAACATAATATGAAATAGAACCAAAATAATATTAGTTATTTTGCAAATCTCAAACAGAACTCTAGAAAACTGAAAGTGACTTTTACTTTAAGAAGATAGTACCATGTCAGTGTCACTGTATTGGCCTTCAGATGGTGAAAAGGAGAACAGGTATCAAATAGGAGGACGAAAATGTTTAAGAAGCCAAATGTTCGGATAGACTCTCAAGGTATAACAACAGAAGTTACATATCTAGAGCATCCAATTCAACGTTCAGCATCAACAACCAACTGTACACAAGAAAGATGGTGTTTTGATGTAGTGAATCTTATTTCAGACACAAAAGAATATAACCAGAAAGCACACTGACCACAAGAATATTGCAGGATCAAAAAAGGTGTTTTCCACCTTTTCTATCAACCATGTTAGGTGGAGAAGGAGAAACCAATTTTCCTTTCCATGTGCCCCATCCTTGAGACAATAAGCACTCAATAGGAAGAAGTGAATTATACAAAGCTTAAACTCGCCTCTAAAATAAAAAAGATGGTCAAGGACAAGCTCCAACAGCCCTCTCCTTATTCTTTGCAAATGTTGTCACCAACCAATAGTTCAACCTCATTAGCAAACACATTCAAAACGGAACATGCCTAGCTGAGAAGTATCTCGGAGTGTCAGCAATTCATCTTAAGGTACAAATCTATGTTGCACAATTGCAGACACAACTGACATGGAAACTACACTGACACGCAAAATAATCCATAAAAGAACTGATACAGACATCCAACATGAGTGTGCAATAGAGTGTGACACACAACAGCTTTACTGCACGACTTCAATGTGTTAGAACTGTCTGAGAGAAGTTTCAATGTCCAATACACCAAGAATAACTTCTTTACCATCAAGAAGGCGGAACCCATGAGATAAGTCAAGCATCATAATTCACTACAAGTGATAATTTATTTTTTCTGGAACAATTGAGCCCTACAGCCGCACATATCTTACATGAGTGTGCAATATGTGTGCGACACAAAAGTGAAAACAGCTTCACTACACGACTTCAATGCGTTAGAAGTGTCTGAGAAAAATTTCAATGTCCTATCCACCAAGAAAAACTTATTTATCATCAAGAAGACAAAACCTCTCTGGCATAAATCAAGTACCATAACTCACTACAATTAAGAATTTATTTTTTACTAACAAAATTGAGCCCTACAGTAGCATATATTGTATCATAATGATGCCTTAAATAGAAGATGTTACAGTCACATAATAGTTGCATGCTCTAATATTTAGATCTTGTAAGTTTATCTGTCGCATGAACTTGAACCTTGAGGAGTATCTCTGGTTTTAGAAGTCTGTCAATCTCTATGGTAGCCTAGAATTTATGTATATGAAATGCTTAACTAATGGCTTACTTATATAAGAAGAAGCTAGTCAAATGGTACATAGGATCTAAAGAAGAACTTAATGTGAGTGCTGACAGTTCAGTTAAGACCCACAAGAGTTTATTAAGAACACAACATCTACATTCACTATACATCATACATTCAAGATAGTGGTATGCTAACAAATTGGGTAGGAACACATACCCATGCCTATCTACATGTTTCAACACCGTCCAATAATTTTGTACCATCAAGCATATATATTTTATAGTCTATCAGGTTAGCTTCTAAGTTGCATGGAAACGGGCACGGGTACTGGTACGGGTGAGGGTATGGGTAGGAGACATGGCAAAACTGTAAAATGTAGGGTACGGGGACACAGCTACATATATATATTGAATTAATAATGTACATGAGATAATTTTTTCCCGCTTCATGTGTCATTAGAATTAAAATTCCGATCACATTTTTGAGTTTCTTTTATCATATTGATTATCGTGAATTGTAAACTTATCATATTGATTATCGTGAATTGTAAACTACTCATTTTTTTACTAGACATCTAAATGACCCATTAACTATATAGTTGTGAACTTGGGTATGGACTGAAACAAACCCGACCCGTATCTCATTAGTTTCAAAAGACGGATGTGAAGTGTAAGCTCTATGTCCAGGAAGTCTTTGACATGTGTTTTAAATTAACACATATATCGTATAATTGAGTACATGTTGTAATAAATGCATGCATATATTCAAGATAATTGAGTACATGTTGTAATAAATGCATGCATATATTCAAGAAGTGTCCATGAAGTTTGGGTATGGGAAAGTGTCGGGTACGTTCCATGAAGTTTGGGTATGGGAAAGTGTCGGGTACGTGTCCGGTACGGGTACGGCTTCATTATAGAAGTATCCGGGTAACATAACTTAGCTTTCAATTTCAGTTAACAAAAACCGTCATTTTTTATAACTAACAAGACCAATAGGCTATGTATAGATTCTAAACTTTGTTGTATACACTCTTAGAAGAATCATTACAAAGGCACATCACAATGCATATGCTTTCAAATGCCAAGTAACATGAAACAGGGCAAATATTTCAAATACAGGAATAAAGTCCCATGAAAAAAAATACTTCAGACTAGACGTGTTTCACAATTTTTACTGAAAAAGCACATCATTGATTATGTATGCATTTCAACAATACTTTGATTTTAAATAATTTAGCATAATGGTTCCTTTTTATCACTTAACTTTGAGCAATCTACTTAACCATATTTATACAAGTGGTGTCATGCAACTTAGAACAAGATTCATGAACATCAGATTTTGGTCACGTACAACTTCAGTAAGCATAATACAACATCATTTAACACTAAATTATAACTATGGAGTTTCAGAAATGCTGATGGCAAAATCCACTAGAAAGACTGTCATTATAAATACCTAATTCGAGCAAATGGTCCTTATGTTCACATGGAGTAAAATGTGAAAACACAGCTTGCAACTACTAACTTGGAGAGGATTTAAGACTCATGACACCAGTAAGACAAATGTCAATGATAAGGAATAACATATACTAGAATAATTGGCGTAAAAATACTACTTGTTACACTTTAGCCAGAAAAATTAAAAAGGGTGGGACCTAGCTGTATGAATTAAAACTCCATGATCAATAAGGCATGTTTTTAAAACCACCCATTCAATTTAAGTTTCCTTTCTATCCTTACCTTGGCAAGAAGTAAAACTAATTTCAGGGGTAACATCAAGTAGGCAGGAGGGGTTGTAAAATTTGGTTGAGAACATTTTGCACTCAATAACGACCCCATTAAGTTGCGAAAAGCTTAATTATGATGGTAATGAGGTGAGACGCATTCAAGTTTTGTTGTGTGCAATAATCTCCTTAGACTAATGAAAGGGGGTTTGCACTCAAACATATTTAGCCTTCGATAGGAAGTACGCAGCTTGAAATTCACATGGAGAAGCCATGATGATGGAAAAGTTCATCATTGAGGCAATAAAATTTGAAATAATCAACTTTTTTTTTATAATTTTGAGTAAGCCATTAGCTGAGTTCCAAAAAATGGAAGCTTCTTATATTCCATAGCAAAGCAGTCATAGCTCAAGTACAGTACTCGAAAAGCATCTTAACAAAACTATGGCTAAAGCAGTGAATGTAAACAAAATGAAAGCTAAAATACCCACTGCTCAAATTCAACAATTAAAACAATGAAAATTAAGAAGGCGATGCAAGAGCAACAATCAACTTACAATCTTCAAATCCATCAACCCATCAAACCTCTGGTAAGTCACCAATCCTCCAATCCCCAAATCCACCTTCTCCTCATCCAGCAGCGATTTCTCCAGATTTTGAGCAAGCCAATCCCGAACTAAATCCAATGACAACTGCACAGAAAGCCCATGTTTCTTTTCTTTCACGTAATTCCAATATATAAACATGTACAATATCACAATTATGTTTAAAGGAAAAAAACAAACAAACAAACAAACCTACATGATTCTCAGCCAAACAAAGTTGCATAACTCCATCGGGATTCTGACATTCATGATAAGGGTCATTAACCCACCTTTTATATCCAACAATCGAAACAGAATCACCACCCGCAACTTTGCTGATAACATTAGAAGCACGAGATGAAACCGGAGCGGGCCCAGATGGGGTTTTCTGCGATAGAAGAGACCTTGACAGAGTTCGAGGAATCGAGGTAGACGATTCATGAAGCTTGTCAGACGAGGAAGAAGCAGGAGGAGGAGAAGGGGAAGATGGGTGCCGGTTTCTTTTGAGGTAGAGCTGAAGGAAGTAGAAGAGAGCGCAGGGGACGATTGAGCCGAGCACAAGGCCTCCTCGGCCTTGGACCACCTCTTGAAGAGGGACGATTATACGCATGGCCGCAATCTGAGATGGGTCTTCGTCGTCGTTTCTAGAGTTTTCCTTAATGGTTTTTTTGTGTTGGGTGTGGGTCATTTGGCTGACAAAAACAATGGAGGTGGAGATTTTGAGAGAGAGAGACTCTCTCTCTCTAGTCTCTCTCTCGTTTGGGGGCGGAGAAATTGAGCGGGGCGAGAAGGGGAAGGGGATAATAATTAGGCAATTGAGCGCCGCTAGTCTAGGACTCCTGAGCTAGTGACAGCGAGGGAGGGAGGGGGAGGAGGGATTGGATGTATTTGTTTGGATTTTTTTTCTGTTGGGGGAGGGTAGTTTGACGTAAGTGGCCTCTGGTTGGAAATTTTTGAATGAGGGCACCTTCGTAGAGGTATGGAGTACAGGGGTGTGCAACGGTCGGTTCGGTTCGGTTTTTACTAAAATTTGAACAACCGAACCGAACCGTCTATAATTTAAAACCGAACCAAACTGTTGCAAGTCGGTTCGATACGGTTCGGTTCGGTTTGTTTGGTTCTAACTTCATCAAACTTCTTATCAAACAATAAACCGTGTTAAAGAAAAAAAAATCAACAAAGTAGAAGATTATGAAGCATTAAACACTGATATAATGATATTGTTTTCAACCCATAATGATCCAGAAAATAAGTTTAGAGTTTGAGACTTTGACTCTTTGGGGACGGGTCGGGTAGGGTGAGATCAGAATGGGTAGTATTGCACTATATTCGGTCGGTTCGGATCGGTTCGGGTTGAAAAGTTTTCAAACCGACCCAAACCGCCCTACTCATAAAACCGATTTTTTCGGATCGGTTCGGTCGGTTTTTTCGGTTTGGACCGAACCATGCTCAGCCCTAATGGAGTATCAAAATTTATGTATTAGACAGCTCTTGTTTAGAATTTGAAATTTTCATTACTATTTGGAAAAATGTGTCAAGGCCTCAAAATCTAGAAGCTGATGTGGCACAGTCCCAGCAACTTTTTTCTTTACTCTTTAGCCCTAAAAGAGGTAAAAAAGTGTGGCTCAACCCTAAAAGCCCACTTTTATACATGTACTGTTAGGGGGGGGGGGGTGATTAGGGTCTTATGCTAATCTAATCCGATTATATGCCAATAAAAACTATTAACAGAATATCCTAGCAAGAATGAAATGCAATAAGATATATTAGCTAGGATAAGGCAATATGAACAATGAAATATATCCTAGCAAAGAGATATACTTTGAGATATATATATATGCAAGGATACGAAACTAACACAAGGGTAAACAATATGAAATAAGATAGTGGATGATATAAATAATGAGACAATGACGATATGAGCAATGAGCACAAATATAAATAAACGCCAAAGCACACTCAAACACAATCAAATGATCATGGAGTTCGGACCTTCCGTCCTACGTCTCCGCTCACCACTCCCGGGGAGAAATCAACTATCACGATCGGGTTTTCTACGCTCAACCGAATAACATTTACAACCACACTATGTCGGTTTTTAACGTTCACCGATCAACGTTCACAATCACTCATAGTGTCGGTTTTCAACGCTCACTGAACAACGTATACACTCACACTCACAATGTTGGTTTTTAACGTTCACCGATCAACGTCCACTCCTCACACTCGGTTTTCTAGCTAACCGAAAACTTTACAATCTTACAATTGTAACAAATAATAAATTTGTTCTCTTTAATAGATGAGAACACAATGAAAGCTCACACTCAATTGTTACAACTCCCCACAATCCAAATTATACTATGAATATAAATACAATAAGCTCAAAGGTTGTGTGTGTAAGCAATGAGAAAATCAAAACAACTAAACTCAATTAAAATCTAGCATATAGAAATTATGAACAAAACAATAAATAGCTAGAAATAGAGTTTAGGAATTCTTCTCTGAAAATCAAGTTGGAGAGGAGGATTAAAATGAAATTCAAACACTGTAGATGATCTTCTCCACTTGTAAAACAATTTTCACAAACCAAACAGACTTTGAACCCAACTAAAACCCTTTTCAAAACTCTTTTAAACTTCTTTAAAACTATCCATTGGGTTGCTGAGATAGAAGGGGGTTTGAGGGTTTATATAGGAAGAGAAACAACAGTAAAAACCCCAAAGAAAAAGACCAAAAAACCAACAGAATCGAAAATCAGATTCTGTACAAAATAGCCGTTAGAGTGAACGGCGGTCGACCGTGGAAAACTCGCGGTCGACGCGAGCCACTTTCGAAGATGAGAATTTTCCAGAGGCTTTGACGGTCGACCGTGGCAGTCGACCGTGAGAAAATTCGAGCTGACGGTCGACCGTGGAGGTCGACCGCGAAAGTTTCTGTTGGCTCCGCAGGCTAAAAACAAAGGCGTGGTCGACCGTGAACTGATATATAAAATTTTAGGTTTTGAAAACAGTTTGCTGATTTTAAAATACTGTTTAAAAATATCAAATAAATTCTAAAAATTATGAAACTTTGGAAAATGATTGTAGACATGATAATACACATACTATAAAAACTGGTTTTCTAAAAGGATTTTTCAAATGAGAAATATCATCATTTTGCAAAATAGTCCAAAACATGAAAATGTAAACATATGAATTTTGACATTTAGGCTAAATCATGTTTTGAAACTTTGCACAATAATTATGTAGACTTAATAAAAAATATATATATGATTATTGTTAAGTCCAAAAACTAAGAATATAATATTTTTACAAATACAATAGAGAATGAAATATATGAGTATGCATATGAAAATATATTTGTTTCATATCTAAGTAGTTAAACCAAATCACAATAATAAATATGAAATATGTAATTTCATATTTATAAACATAAAAACCAAAATTGTGTTATATATATATATATATATATATATGACTACATATATATACAAGGAAACCAATAAAATGTGAGTGTATATGATATTGAGCTTAGAGTATCTAATACACATAATATAAAACCTAAACTAGATTACCCAAGCCGATCTTGATCTTCAATAAGCTTGACTTGGTACACTATGCGGATGAAGCTGAACTTGGATCTTGAACTTGAATAGCAAGGCTTCACTCCACTATTCCGCCAACCTCCATTGGATATGATCGTGAAGCTCTATTCTATCCATCCTCCAACTCGTTGTTTGCCTAGAATAAATACGAAAACACAAACACTAGACAAACAACATTAGAAGTAAATTGTTTGTTAAACATCATCAAAACAAGAAGGCCAACATGTACTCTAAGTATTTTTCAAAGCCTACCAAAAATGTCCTCATCTCTCACCCAGGAAACCTTCCCCTTAACCCATGGAGCCGATGATTACTGCCATCGCAATTAACGTGATTCGACGACGAAAATGGAGGGAAAAAGCGCGGTTTCCCTCCATTACTAGGCTAACTCATCATGGATTGTGTATTTTATGGTTTTATCTCCTACTCTCTCATTTATGATATTAGGGTTATTATTCTTCAACTTTCAACAACCCATTATCCCTAAAAATTTCTCTTAACTACTCATCGTAATTATTCTCATAACTTTCAGCAACCCCCAATGACCGCAAAAAGACTTGATTTGCATGGTGTCGTTAGGCGATAAAGCTATATTCTTGATACTCATATCTATAACAAGTTTTTTAGAACTGAAATTTGATGTGTTTGACAGACTGAAAGTACCTTAAGATGCTTTATCATTGATATATAAATCTGAGAGGCACCCGAACTTGAGTTTTTTAGTTGATAATGAAGATGATTTGAAGTACATGTTGGAGCACAATCGAAATACTGGTTGTACGAAAATTCACATGCAAGCTGTTGTTAATATGGAGGGTTTTACTTCTGAAAAAAATCAGAAAGTTTTTATTGAAATGTAAGTAATCAATAAACTATTTTTAAAACTATGCTTTGTGTGATATAAGCTTTGTGATTTTGGCACAATGTTCTCGATGCAAAGCTGAGGGTCACAATCAAACAACTTGCAATGAGCCAATTGATGATTAGGGTGGACTGCTACTTACAACAATACTTTGGTTAGAGAAATATAGGTCGTCCAGAATTTTATAGTATATTGTGAAAGATTTTTATAATCTGTGAAGCTGTAAGACTAATCATATTATGTATTCATGCAATATCAGCTGTAAGAATGTAAGAAGTTTTGTGTAATGTACTTGTTTAGCTGAGCTATATTGTTTTTGCTTCTTGTTAAATATCTTGGTACTATAAAAACTTTCAATTGAATAACTTTAAGCTAATATTTCATTTGACTATGTTAACTTTCAAAATAAAATGTTGGCTTTCAACTATACACGTTGACATTCAGATTCTTTAGCTAACTTTTAAGTGAAGATGTTAACTTTTAGTTGAAATATTATCTTTTGATTAAAAAAAGTTAACTACAAGTTGTACATGTTAACTTATATATGTATATGTTAACTTTCAGACAAACATGTTGACTTTAACATGAATATGTTAACTTTCACTTGAAATCGTTAGCTCTCAACTGAACATGTTAACCTTCTTATTTATATGTTAACTTTCAGCCGAACATGCAATTGTGTACTCAAGCAATATCAGCTGTAAGAATGTAATATGTTTTGTGTAATGTACTTATTTAGCTGAGGTATACTGTATATATATATATATATATGTTAACTTTCAGACAAACATGTTGGCTTTAACATGAATATGTTAACTTTCACTTGAAAATGTTAACTCTCAACTGAACATGTTAACCTTATGATGTATATGTTAACTTTCAGCCGAACATGTTAACATATATATGTTAACTTTCAGACAAACATGTTGGCTTTAACATGAATATGTTAACTTTCACTTGAAAATGTTAACTCTCAACTGAACATGTTAACCTTATGATGTATATGTTAACTTTCAGCCGAACATGTTAACATTAACATGAACATGTTAACTTTTACTTAAATATGTTAACTCTCAGATGAACATGTTAACTTTATGCTATATATGTTAACTTTCATTCTAACATGTTGACTTGAACATGAACATGTTAACTTTCATTTAAAGATGATAACTCCCAGTTGAACATGTTAATTTTCAGATGTAAGAAAATGATGCTGCTACGAAAATAATAATATGCTTCTATGAAAATACTATTGTGTACTCTAGCAATATCAGCTGTAAGAATGTAAGAAGTTTTTTGTAATGTACTTGTTTAGCTGAGGTATAATGTTTGTATTTCCTATAAAATATCTTGGTGCTAAAAATACTTTTAGCTGGATAACTTTCAGGTAAACACATTAACTTTTGTTTGACTATGTTCACTACTGGACAAA